GAGCTCAGTATATATGCAACCTTTCATTTTGCAATGAGAAATCTGAACCAAGCTGTAAGTATTTTGCTGGGCTGGTCATAATCAATTTGATGGTAACAAAACTGTACTAAGGGTACGTCTGGGGATGTTTGGGAGTGGAGTTTTAAAAAAATGATCAGTTATGATTCTTTTGTTTGCAAGCAATAGAAACCCAACTCTTAGACTTAAACCGGCTTAAGTAGCTTTGTTAGTATAGTAGATTATGAATTGAGCTGCTAACCATAAGGTCAGCAGTTGGAATCTACCAGTTGCTCCTCCGGATAAATATGAGGCTTTCTGCTCCCAGAAAGATTTACAGCCTCAGAAACACCATACGGGGTCGCTATGAGTCACAATCAACTCCACAGCATATAACCACCACCAAACTGACTTTACCAATAAAATGTATTTATCGTCTCATCTAACTAGAAAGTCCAGTGAAAAGGCAACCTATAAGGTAGGTTGATTCAACAGCTCAGTGATGTCATTATGGACCAATTTGTGTGTGTGTGCATCTCATTGTAGTTTCTTCCTTCGTGGTGGTTATGTGCCATGGAGACAGTTCTGACACATAATGACCCTGTACAGGGTTTCCGAGGCTGTAAATCTTTACAGGAGCAGAAATCCTCATCTTTCTCCCATGGAACAGCCGCTAGTTTCAAACTGCAACTGTCTTGTAACCACTATACTACCAGATCTCCTTATTTCCTTCCTTATTGTTGTTGTTGTTGTTGTTAAGTGCCGTCAAGTCGGTTCCAACCCATAGCAACCCTATCTAGGGTTTCCGAGGAGCAACTGGTGAGCTTGAACTGCTGACCTTGCAGTTCAAACGGCTTTGCAGTCTGGTGCATTAACCCACAGCACCACACCAGGACTCCGTTAGCTTCCTTAGCATTAGCTTTATTGTCATATGATGGATGCCAACAATTTCTGCGGTTGTGTCTCATCATCCAAGTTCAAGAAAAAAAACCAGAAGGCAAAGTTACTTCTAAAAGCTCTTTCATAAAGACAAGAAAACTCGTTTTCAAAAGGCTCAATAATTGAGTCACACATATATAAACTAAAGCAGATGGCAATCGTGATATTAGGCTAATTATTTTAGGACTAAGTCATATGCCTTCCTCCTAGAACCAAAAAGTCAGGTTCCCTCAATCCACATGGGCTGTGATGAGGAGGTGATAACCTGAATAAAAAGTAAAGCAGTTACTCAGGCAAAGAAGAATGGATGCTGAGAAGGGGACCACAATGTCTGCAACAAGAAACAAGTCAAGAATGGCTTTTAGGTGTCTGGCGTGTGTGATTATGAAATAATGATGCCATTTAACAAGTTACAGAATCTAGAAGATGGAACAGCTTTTGAGGGGGATTTTGATGAGCTCACCTTACACAAGGTTGAGATGTGACTGTTTGGAGCATTCAGAAAAAGACCAAGTCTTATAAATATGAGATAAAATTAGCCCTAGGATAAAGGCTACTATTTTAGATCTAGATGACTCTGGAATAACTAGAGGGAGAAATGGAGTGGGCAGTTACATAAATATGTATTACTCAAGTACTCTGTGTGAGAGAGCTGAACAAAGATAGTATGAAAAAAAATAATACGATATAGATGGTAGCTGAAATTATAGGAATGGATGAGACCACCAGGGAGATTATGCACTGAAGAAAAGGAGGAGTCAACAGTGGCACCCTGGGAGATACCAGCACATAAGGACTAGGCTGGAAGATCATGAAAATGCCTGGGAAATAAGAAGAAGGAACAGAAATGAGATTCAGCTACTTCACATCATTGTTACAGAGACCCTGTAGAACAGCTTCCTAGGGTTTTCACACTCAATGTAAAAGAAAAAAGGTGAAAGACGTCTATGTGAAGTCTTGTTGACAAATAACTCCCTTAAGTCCCTCTAGGAGGCCTGGTGGTGTGGTAGTTTAGGCTTTGGGTGATCGGTTATTCAAACCCACTAGCCTCTTCGAAGGAGACAGATGAGGCTTTCTGCTTGCATAAAGACTGACCGCCTCAGAAGCTGTTCTACGCTGTCCTGAAGGATCAGTATGAGTAAGATCGACTCTATGGCAGTGGGTTTGGGTTTGGTTTGGCTTCACGCCCTCTGAATACCCCCTTACTTCACTGTTTGGCCAAGCCTGTCTCTAGTCACTTCCTCATGATCTAGTAACTAAGATGATAACTCCTGGTTTCACTGAGTGTTTTCAGTTAGGGCAGAAGGCAGACTCACATTTGTGCTAAAGGATAGCTTTTTACTTATCCAAATGTATATGACTAAAAAATAGTATTGGCTTCCACTTCCAGATATAGAAAGTACAAGGATCTGAGATTACCAACCCACCATAAACAATTAGAAAAATGGACAAAATTCAGGAAATAACTATTTCCAGATATTAGGCAACAGGCAATGTGGGACTGTGATATCTGATACAAGAGAAAAAAATGAAGTGAGTCCTAATAACACCCAAGCCTTCTTTCAGCAGCAATTTCCAGACTATAATGCAGGGAGGGAGAATTTGAACCCCCAAATCTTGCTGAGCTACAGTAGAGAGGTGAGGGAAACCAAGGTGGTTAGAATTTGCAGGTCAGATTTGCAGAGAGGAAAGAGATCTATGCAGATAACGTGTTGTAGAAATCTGCACAGTTTGTGCATGTGAAGAATGAAACAACATGAGGCTGGACAAAAATAACTCTGAGCAAAGAACAATATAAGAGAGGCCACATGAGTTATTATAAGGAGCTCTGGTAGCATAGTGGTTACAAGTCAGGCCACTAATCTTAAGGTCAGCAGTTCGAACTACCACCAGTTCCATGGGAGAAAGATGAGACTTTTTGTTCCCATAAAGATTACAGCCTCAGAAACTCTAAACGGGGTCACTATGAGTTGGAACAGACTCCATGGTACATAACTACCACCATGAGTCATTCAAGTTGCTTTCAGCCAGGGTGAAGGAACTTCCCTGAATATATGGAGAATTCAGAAGAGACTTAAGCCTTAACTATGATACAAAATTA